CTGGTTTGAATTAATGAGCCAGATTCCAGTTTCCCTCTGTCAGTGTCCCGTACAACAGAGATATGACTGTATGTGGAGCAGATGGCCGCTGCACAACACAATAGAGCAGTCAGAACCAGACATAGTTCCAGTGCTTAATTCCTTTATCAAGCTGCCCCTCGAAGAGTAGAGGCGATTCATCATGAAGGTTCTTAGTGTGTGGACAGCACAAGGTTAGACCAGAGGTAGCCCAACTATTCATTCAAAAACTCCAGGATCTCAGTGTTTGGCAGAGAGCGACCTGCGCCCACAAGAAAATAAATGTCTAAAACTTCACCCCCGCCGTGTATTTTGATCATCTGCGATTACGCAGTGCCAAGATTTTCGACTGATCTTGGCCCGAACAAAACATCAAATTAATCATGCTCTGACCTCCTACAAATCTGATATTAGGGCACAAGTGCAAGCCTTTGAAGAGAGGCTTCACAGATATTCAAGGGATAAAAGCTCTGATGTCCTTATCCTGTGAGCAGCACAGCACTACAACCTGAGCCGTGAAAATGTTTTTATTACAAGACAATAACATGGAAAATCCCAAAAATGTGATCTGAACCAAATTAGTCCAAAAAAGTTACTGCTTTAAAAAGGTCCCCTATTATACTGTTTTTCATCAATATATATATATATATCTATATCTATTAGGGATGCACGATATTGGTTTTTTGAAACCGATACCGATAACTTCCTGCTTCTCAAGACCGATACCGATAACCGATAATAATATAATATATATATATATTAAATGTAGCTGTAGTTTTTGCACACCTGGTGGTAAAAAAAAGACTAGTAGTGAGCAAATGACATGAGCATTACTACTATGAACAAAACAAAGCCAAGAACAGTTTTGACTCTTCAAAGTGATCATATTTATTTTCCCAAATAAAGTTCTTGCCTTTTTCAAAAGCCTCGTCGATAGGTAAAAGCCCCGGTGCCTTTGCAGCTGGCTTTGGATTCCCCGCTAGTTTAGCAGCGCAGGAGTCTTCGTACGCTTTTAACACACCATCGTAGCGATGGCGATGTTTCAGGTGACTAATCAGGTTGGAAGTATTATAGCTCGTTGCCTTTTTCCCTCCTCGTGGAACTTCTGCATTGCATTTGTTAATACAAATAGCAAGCGAACTATCTAACTCTGAAACTTTGAAATAGTCCCATACTACCGGTGACATGTTTGTTTACTGTCCTGGCTTCACGGCCGCTCACCATTTACGTCACAGCCAGGCATGAGTTAGGGAGCGCTGGATTTGTGAAAAACTCCCCTCTTCCTAAACCACTAATACCACAGTACTGGCAAACCGGGAGGAGCCGAGTGAAAAACAAGCGCCCCTCATCCCAATCCACCCACACCGCAGTATTTTTTTCTACCCAAAAAATATATTGTATATTATCGGGGCTATTAATACTTTTATAGGGTTTATCGGGATGACGTCATAATTCCTAATATCGGACCGATAATTATCGGGCCGATAATTATCGTGCACCACTAATATCTATATATATATATATATATATATATTAGGGCCGGGACTCGATTAAAAAAATTAATCTAATTAATTAGAGGCTTTGTAATTAATTAATCGAAATTAATCGCATTTTTAATCGCATATAAATATTTGACCTGAGAACAGTGAGAAGCAATTTTTTTCACATGGATTTTAGTATACCATTAGGCGCATTCACACCGCAGTACTTTTCCCACAAAGGTTCATGAGAACTTAGTTCATGAGAACAAATTAAGCCGCTGACGTCACTTCTTCTTCTTCTGCTTTGGGTTTACTGGCAGGCCGCAAACCACTTCACGGCGTATACTGCCGCCCAAAGTCCCCGGCCGGAAGTCCCCGGAGTTGGGGACTGGCTTCAGTAGAAGCTGCTGGGACTCCCAGCAGCTTCTACTGAAGCCTTCCGAGTAAATCGCCAGAACGCCGACACCTCCTCATCTCCACCGCTCCCATGTTTTATTTTGTGTTGCCATAAGTTAGTCTCTCTGCGTTTCTGCGCTGGGCTAATGCTAATGCTAATAATGCTAATGCGAGGATAATAAAATGGCGGCTTCACCAAACTTTTTGGGAGTTTTACGGGGCGTGGTTTGCAATCCGCCCAGCCAATCAGAAATATAGCTCTTTTCTCACAAGAGAGCCGTACGAAAGTCCCTGCTCTCTAGCAGCTCTCTGCTCTCTAGCAGGGACTTTCGTGGGGGTAAAAAGGTTCTCATGAACTAATTTTAGTACCGGCTCTTTTTGGTGTGAACCATAGACTGTATGGTGTGAACGCGATAAAAGAGGCTAACGTCCACGCTAGCTTCCACGCTAGCTGCTATATGTTTTGCATTGAGGTGATACTTGAGGCTTGATGTGCTGCGGTGATATGCGAATTCCTTTTTGCATAATTTGCACACAACCGTGCTCTTATCAACGCTTCCATCCGTCCGTTTTCCCACTGTTGTTCACTGTGGTTTGTTGTTGTCTGAAGTCATGAACGTTAGTTGGTGCTCCAGTATAATCGGTACGCCTGAAACTCATCCAGTGAGAAACGTTCCGCGGTGCAAAAATAAGTGCGATTAAAATGCGTTAATTTTTTTAACGCGTTAATTAAGATTAATTAATTACACAAAAATTAACGCGTTAAAGTCCCGGCCCTAATATATATATATATCAGATATATACAAAACATGTCTCTGAAGTGTCCGAAATATCAAACAGATCATTGTAGCATCCCATAATCCCCTCTGTTTCAGCCCTGTTTCAAAAGTGCTGATTCTGGGTGTTTCTCAATGTCGAGGAAGGCTCCTCCAGAGCCGCTATTTCAAGGATGTTATGTAATCGAGTCCCACCGAAGGACTGTTCCAATGTCCAGGATCCTTGGAATTCTACCGAGGCCGGCATCCTTCGTTGCGGGAAATGTCGAGGCTGCACACTCCGGTCTTAAAATCCCCACAATGCTTTGCGCACAGACCAATTTCCAAATATTTGGCGGAAATCGCGTTCCATTTAAGGCGGGGCCTCGCATATGACGCACACCTGCACACCTGTTAGCCTGTTCCACCATTCTTCGTTTTCCGAGGCTAGGAAGGATTCTTGCCTCACTTCTGAAGGACCTGACTCGGAAGACATGTCCTACCAAGGAAGCGTCCTCAACATTGAGAAACACCCTCTGTGTCTGTTACTTTAGATGAAAATAAGGAGCCCCTCTCCACGCCCCTCTGAGAGATATTTGGTTACAAAGAACACAATGGTGCTCTAGGAGGAGATTCAGGTGATAAGGTGGTGGGGGGGGGGGGTTACCTTGGTTGGTGATTGGCCAAAAAATCCTTATGACATCATAAAGTGGCCAAAGTCTGATCAGCTCCTTTTCAGACAGGTTTATATATAAATGGATCATGACAAAAAGTGAGAGAATCTTTTTTCCTGAAACTTTCAGAACCTCTTTACGCAGAGGGGACACATGTTGATGTATAAAAGACGTGAAAAAGTGGATTTTGCATAATAGGTGACCTTTAAGACCCAACATTTATTTTACACATAATGTTAGTATTATAGGGCAAATGGCAACAATACTTGCCATTACTGGGTACTGCAAAAAAGTCTATACAATGTTCCCATACTTGTATTGCTATATTCCACTGCCATCTTTTCACACCTATACCTCCTGGGTAATTCAAACGGACAGAGACAAAGACGTAGGAAGAGGCAATCATTGGCAATTATAGACAAGGCTAAAGGCTTGTGTTTGATCAATCAATGATAACCAGTAAAGCAAACAGCACCATGATGGATACTGGGCTATCAGAGGTAATGCAGAAAGTAGTGACTCTTTGGTTGCAAAGAACGAGACATTTGAACACTAAGGCCCCGGCCACACGAGGACGAAAACGGTTGTTTGCGTTACTGTTTAGTGTCATATAGACCGTTCGGCCACACGCGGACGACCGAATACGGCACTAAACGACTGCGGAAACGATAATGGGTCCCAAGGTGGATAGAACGGCATACGCAACGCTCTGGGGGGTCCAACGGCTCCGTGTGTACGCCATATACGATAATTTTCTGATAATGATGAGGCAATAGCCCCGCCTCTCCCCACCTCTGCTGCTCACCCCCGCGTCAAAGTAAACTGCACACTGAATTCAGATTATTTATCTTTCTCTTGATATGGACATGCACGCGAGTGAAGTCTAATCTGACAGGACGGAGACACCTCTCAAACTACCTAAACTAGTTATAAATATGTATATTTTTACTGTTGGCCGGGTCACTCATTACTGGATCATCATTATCAAAATAATAAACAAATATTCATAAAAACATAAAACTTGGCAGGCATTGTGTTTTTATTGTTTAATGTGTTTTTATTGTGTACGTCTTTATTCGTATGATGTTTTAATGCTTTGTCAAACACTTTGTGACTATGTCTCTGAAAAGTGCTTTATAAATCAATGTTGCTTACTTACGCTTTATAAATAAATGTTACATATCCGAACTACTTTTTTAATTGACCAGAAGTCATCTATAGGGAAATGCTCATAAGCCTTTTTCAAGTTAAATATATACAGCAAGAATAGATGGACAAGCTACTTTACCCTCTAGTAGCTTTGCAGATTAAATAACTGGTCCACACCTCCAGCAGAACAAAAGACTCCTCCATCGAGGTTTAACATATTGCAGGAGCCAGATTTCTGACAGTTTTCATATGCAGGGTTCAGCATATCTGGTTTAGCAGGAGGACCAGCTTTCAGGCCAGATTCCCTATTCTGGGACTGTGCTTTCCACAAGAGGCTGGTCCATACAAGTCTTTCAATTGCTCTCTTTTTGGCTTCTAAAATTGGGCCTAATTTACATTTTAAAAGAGGTAACAGGAACATAACTCACATATTTCATTTAAATATGGAATATGTGGGATTTTACATCTTTGAAAGAAATGAGGAGGAAAATGGGCTTGAAAGTGAAGAGTTTCTTTGTTCACATTACCTTGCGTGATAAATGAATGTCAAAGAAGGGTTTGTTTCGGACGCTGAAGGGCTCCTTGGTTTTGTCGATCTGTCCGGTCTTCATCTTTTCCATCCGGGGAGAAATGATCTCCTTTTCCATGCATAACAGTCGAATATTGAACTCACACTGGCCAACCGGCTGTCCCTGAAACACACACAAAAACAAACTCAGTCATCTCTCTACGCAACTTGGGAAGTAACTCATTTGGGAAAATAATGTGTACTCTTTGGTTTGCAGATATGGAAAAATCAATGTTTTCAATATAAAAACAATCAATTTACTGCAGAAATAAAGAATATCCTTTATTTAGACAGAGTTCTGCCATTTTATATTTAGCTATGATATTTGAAATATCTAAGCCAAATTCGCTCTTAACTGCCATTTACAAATAATATCTTATTTGATGAACCAAACAGGTAATCAATTAGTCAAGCAAACAATAAACAGATTCGATAATAATGAAAAAATAACGAGTCACAGTCCTTACAAGTGTAATAAAACATTTCCACACACACAATAGCTTCCTTGTAGGATCACTTTAAGTTTCTTCATAAAACTTATATTAGCTCCATGATAGCTGGCAGTGTGCAGGTGCTAAGGCAACAGCACCTTGAGATCAGTTGAGCTAATTGGAATGTCAAAACCAAAAGTTAACAGTGAAATAGTTTTCTCTTTGTCACTATGACAACAGCTTCCTCCCATCATTGGTAAGCCACACACAGTTGTTCTGAAGAGATAAGCCCAGCGACCATCACTGCCTCTCAGACAGACAGCAGGGCCATAGAGGCCTCAAACCTGTGACAGAAATCAATATTAACAATTATAAGTCTCATATCCTGGTTATTCATGAAGGAACTTTAGGACAGCCAAGTAACTCATTTAAAGGGGCCTTTTGGGATTTTAGCCTTTGAAGACCATTAACATGCACAAAAACCTATATGTTAAAGTACAGAAAAGCAGAACCAAAAAGGCATAATAGGGCCTGTTAGAGCCAGTATTTTTGTTTTATAAGAAAGGCAACCTAATTGTGACATCTGTAGTCAAGACACTATACAGGGTATATGCAGGAATCCTGAAGTCAAATGTATTACCTTTTAAGACCTTTTTTAAGACCCTTTCCATACATTTTAAGACCTCATCGCCACTTTGAGTTTTAACGGACCTTCGCGCGCTATCAAGCAGTGAGCGTGCGATGTCCTGTTCAGATGACGTCAAATCCAACGGGATGCCATAAATAAACTACACAGAATCACACTACACACCTACGCAATGATTACATTCAGGCAGACTGTAGAATACAACCTTGTTGGACAATTGATATACTTATTGAAAACAAGATACAAAATGTAACACCTTGGAAAATGCCGTTTTATACTTTTTAATAGCCTTCATTTTCGCTAAATTGATTTATCGACTTTTAATACTTTTTAAGATCCCGCGGACACCCTGCTATAAAAGACTACAATTCCCAAGTCGCCTCCTCTAAAGTGACAGTGATGGGCAGCAACCTGTTAGAAAGACGCCGTCGAGGCACAGTTTTTAACCGTACAATTACCCTTTAAGTATATAAGCCTTATCAGAAAGAAAGAATATCCAAGTTGTTTGTTATTTTATTTGAGTTTTGCCTATTTGTTTTGAATATTAAAAAGGCCTTTTCTTTATTGCATGTGTAAAAGTGTGTTATTTTATTTTGAGCAAACACATCGCATAACATCATCTAACCATTGGAGGCCAAGTAACTCTTCAAACTGTAAGTAATATAAAGGAAGAAAACGATTTAAAAATGTCTGTTTAAGGCGTCTAGTGCATGGATGTATAATAAGAACTGGATACAGCGTGGGATGCGGAGTCTCGTTCTTTCCTATGAGAGCTGCTCATTGGCGCATGAAGGCAACATGGCTCAACTTTTGAGAGAGCGAAACGTCACAGATTACCCGTCATGCTTGGCTAGAGTATGCGCAGTTGAGTTGCCCATTAAGCCCCGCCCCCCGAGCTCCCACTCTCGGCTCACTAGAATGAATGGAGAGAAAAAATAAATATAGATTCAGCTTTTAGTACATTTTACAACTTTAAGGACCGAATGATTCTAATAAGGGCTATACAATAGTTTATACTGGGTAGTTTATTTAGTATTACAAAAATTATCCGCTGATTTACAGACGTCTCTTTCCCCATGTTAGCCAATGGGGAAAAGTCGTTTTGGGACATCACAGACTGATACGGAAGTTGGCACAGAGTTCGGCGCACTTCCTGGGGGCTTGGTCTAGTGGCTTGAAAGAAAAACAAGGAAGGAAGCCACGACAGGGCCCCTTTAAGAAACCTTACAGTGTGACTATAAAAGTAAGCTGAAAAGTTGTGATGAAACCATTCTGCTACGGTGAAGTAATTTGAAAGTCAGCAACAAAGTTCTCGGTTGCTCAATTGACAAAGTGATTAGAAAACAATTAGTCACAAAAAATAATAACATTTATCTAAAACAATTGACCAGATAAGGACAAAATATGTGAAAAGTGAAAACAAATCTGACATTTAATATTTCTAACACGTTATCAGAGAGGGCAATAAGTCGCCTTGAACTCACCAACCAAGCTGTCATTTCTTGTTTTTCCAAGAGACAGAAAAACATAATGAAAAACAAATAATTCTCCGCGTCGTGATGAGGACAAAATAACTTTAAATGCTTTCCATGTTTTGTCAAATGCTTTTGGAAACTTCCAATCTATCTCCCTAACTGGATGTTTTCTTGATCAGTTTAATTAGGCATTACTTTGCCCTTTTGAATAAAGAACTTGATAAAAGGTTTAATATATTATTACAAAAGGAAATTGATAATATATGCTTATAGCGAACAGTTCCTCAAGGATCAATCTCAAGGTTGTTATTTCATCCATGTGAAGGATCTTGGCTTGACAAGCTTTTAGATTGTATTTTCTTTACATTTTGTATTACCAGGTTATGATTAGCATCAATTCAATCATATCAAAAGACTCCTTTTTCGTATTCTTCTTGTGTACATTTAGCGATTTTTGGAACAGTTCCTATTCGACATTGAGTTTTTCCCTTCTTTTTTTTAAACCATGAAAGTATAAAGCGAACATTTACACCTTTTTTCTTCCTACACAAGGAAACGGATCAATATTTCCCAATCCATAACGAGAGGCACTAGCAGGGAGGCGTGACTCGGGGGCATTTGTATTCTGCTCGGTTACTGTTTGGTAAAGGCCACCTCACTCCGCAAGAGCTTTCTATGGAATGTATTATCCATAGAAAAATATGAATGATGGATGAGGAGGGACACGGTCAATTATTAGTAAAGATGTCATTTCCTAGACTACTTACTCTTGAGTCATTCAGAAATTCCGCAAACAGAAACCAGAGCATTTTATTTTAGTATGCAGTCTTATGTAAGCAAGTACAATGTCAAGCTTAATGACCAATAAAACAATTACTTTATTTTACTAACCACAGAGAGCATGGCTGTGTCTTCAGTATCTAATGATACAATTATGTCTTAGAAATAAAAGCCATTTCTGTACAGCTGGTGGTGAATTGTATTTTTTCGTGAGAAGATTATATCTTATTTTAAATTACATTAATTTGCCCAAAAAACACAAGACAAAAAAATAGGAGAGTATAAATATTGACTATATGGTCATGAGACCCATTTAGGGAATCCACTCCAGTTATTATTATAACTAGGGCTGGCCAAAGAGTGTGCGTGCTATATAATTCCAGCATCTTCGTCCATGTCACGGTTGTTACATTTAGAGCTAAAATTATAATAAAATAATAAATCTGTGTATTGTTAAATCACATTAAAGATTCGGCTGGTATGATTCAAGAGTTCCCAGACCTTCTGACACATCAAATGCACGGACTTCCCATGCCCACTTCCCTCAAATGTACGCACCTGCATGGTTTGAGACACAAATCAAGCATTCATTTTGACAATTTGAGCTTCGAGGATTTCCAAGAGCAAGAATTTATTTTGGCAATTATATATTTATTTGTATTATTTAATTATTTATTTTATCTAATATATAACTGTTTGCTCATTTTCAGCAACAACGTGATAATAACCGTGCAGTATGCTGTGCAGTGTCTGTTACTTTCTTCTTCAGCCATAACAACTCTATAAAGAACAGTTTAGCGACTGCAAATAAGATCGACACATTTAAAGTTTGAGAAACACTCATTTGGGCTTAACTTTGAGGGCTTGGTTTTCTTTTTTTGTGTGCAAAACAAAAACACACTCCATTCTCCTGTACTGACAGCTGGTACCATGTCCCACACACTCTGCACCATCTGTTAGCCATGTCATCAGGACAGGACAAGATGTAAGTGTGGATGATTCAATGCGCCGTCCATGCCTGACCTACAGGAAAACACAGCTGATGAGAATCTTGTAAATCCTGCATTTCCTGGAATAAAGATCGATCGTATCGGTGAAATCCCCTTATTACTCTGCTGTGGTTGCAGACACTAATAGGTCTGGGTGGCAGCCATTTATTTGTCTGTGCAGCTCTACTTTGACTCACTGTCATCACTGTGGGCTTGAGCTAGACCAGAGCCGGTGTCTCAACGCAGCACACTGCACCATTTTCAATAAGCAACCGCAATGGATCGTGGTTGATCAAACTAGATACAGATCTATATCCTCTAGAGCTGAAACCACTGTCAATTAAATGTTTCCCTAGTTAACTTCTCAATTTGAATTTGCTGATTGTCTTTCTCTTATGTGATAATGAACTAAGTATATTATGGATTTGATCTGTCAAACAAAACAACCAATGTAGAAACAGCATCTAGGTCTTTAAGATATTGTGGGGGCATTTTCCACAGTTTGCTGATGTTTTATAAATGTATATACTCAAAGACTGTTGTGTAAAATCCCGAGCATTACATAACCTCCTTTAAGGGTAAATTGAACCCAGCGCATAAAGAATCTATATATACAAACTCATTAATTGTTAAAACATCAGAGAGCTGCAGAGCCAGAAATAAAGCTCTTTTATTGTGCGAGGCTGGAGGGTGCCTTCAAGAATAAGGCACAAAAACGAAATCTTCAAAAAGAAAGCTGACAGTGCTGGGAATACTGTGAGAAGCCGGGCGACTGTCTGGTATAACTCTGATTAAATGAAATT